CAGTAGAGGGCATCGTGAACGTGCCGGCGATGTAGCAGTACGTGTTGATGACGTTCTGCGGCAGCACCTCCTCGCTGAGACAGGAGATGGGCGCGCCGATGTACTGCGTGGCCGTGACCAGGAGGCAGCAGGCCATCAACAGGGCGAACGTGACGCGGTAGTGTAGACGGAACACCAGGCCGTCGCCGCAAGGCTTTGCACGCGCCGAAAAAAGGTTCGTATGGAAGGCCAGCGGAGATAGCAAGCCCTGCATGGTGCCTGTGGAGGCAGAGGGCGGAGTCATCGGCATGGACACAGTCAGACATGGTGGCGCTGTGTTGCTCTCTGTCCTAGCGTTTACATCAGAGAGTAGGTCGGGCATGGCGGTCACGGCGGTCACTCGTCACTCGTCATAAGAGAGGTCGCTCGACTGTCCGACATGAGGTCGCCATGTTGTTTGGCACGAGAGGTAGGAGAGCAGGCCCAGGTGAGGGAGAGAGGGAGGGGCAGGAAATAAAGAAAGATGCCGCGGGAGACGCCGCAGGGTCACCGCCCAGCACGGCTGACATGATGCATTGCCATTTTGTCTGTTGTGCACATATGACGTCAGAGGACACTATTACGTCTACACCGTGCAAACGAAACCAAGAAGTTCCTACGTCTTTGCGCTGAAATTTCAAAAACCGATGTCATGGTCACTAGCCAGCATACCACTGTCAGGTGGCAGGGAAGCCAGGGGTATTTTGGGGACACGAAAGACATCGGAGCACAACGGGACGCACTCTGATGAATGTTGAGAAGCGCATTAACCGCTTAGCAGGAGGAACAGGTTAGGGTTGGGGAGTGACAGAAATGTACTCTCCCATTTAGTTGGGGGGCTTCAACCCATCCCCCAACCTGGGTCCCAGCTCCCGCCCCAAATTTTTGAAAAAAATGAGTCAAACTCAGTGTAATCACGCTCGTTGGCGTATTTTAGGGGTAAATTTAGTATTTTTTAATATTCAACCCCAAAACTCATTTTACTAAGCTAGGTCCTGGGGAGAGGGAGAAGAAGGGGTCAAATGCTCGCAAATGCCCTGTTGCTAAATGGCGTCGAATGGAAAAACATCCTTATCAGTCCTTCCAATCTGCCGTTGCCACCGCGATCCCGTTCCAATTTCTGAACCGTGGGACTGACAAGGATTTATGGTGTAGAAGCTGCCATGACAGATTGCAACCGCGCCTGCTTGGGCTGTCATGGGAGATTGTAAACACACCTGCCTGGGCCGCCATGAAGATTGCGAACGCACCTGCCTAGGCCACCATGGCAGATTGCCACCGCACCTGCCTGGGCTGTCATGGCAAATTGCCACCGCACCTGCCTGGACCGCCATGAAGATTGCGAACGCACCTGCCTGGGCCGTCCCATGTCCTATGGTGCTCTCTGATAAAAGCGTAAGTTTTCATCGAGCTGGGTGATCGGAACGTTGTGATGGCAGTGGTGACAACTGGCAGCGAACGGAGAGGAAGGAAGCCAGAGGTGCATGGTATAAGAAAGCTGCTGAGCCCGCGCAGCGACCGCTTTAGCAGAATCAGCCGCCTTGCGACGCTCAACATTTGATTCCTCGCTTTGGTTTGAGCTTCCGACCGGTACTTTGATTGGAGGCGTCTGCATTTCAGCGACATTTGGACCCAAACACGCATGTTACTGAGTTTCGCCCGATCGCCTTCCAAGTGGCGGCGTCAATGGGAGCAAAGGAACAAGCGTGACTAAGGAGGTCTTAATCTATGTTAACGGCGGAGGACGGTGAAATGCGTCTGCGTCGATGTTCTGGGCGAATCGGAGACGCATGTGGGCAGGAGACCGATAACTTTTTTGGCAATTCATGCCATTCGCCCAGCTGGGAGACTAACGCAAGTGTTGCGGAAAAAGGGTGGCAAGCGCAAGTGTGCCAATCCGGCGGATGCAAAAGACGTGCTTTGCAAGGCAGCACATGTGCATGCACTTTCTGCCACACCTGATCTCGAGCTGTAACTTTGGGATCTGCCGACAGACTGAGCTTGCTGCCAGCTCAGCAGGTAGTCGACGCCAGAACCCACAAGGCCAGAAGCCGCGAGATTCTGGCGAGCTTGCTCGCTCCGAGCTCCGGATTGCTTGCGGGCCGTTCTCAATACAAACAGCGAAACTGACGGAGCGGTGCGCGGTAGAAGGCAGGGCGGACTACTGGACGTCCGCCGGTCTCCTGTGGTAAAGCTGGCGAGCGACAGTACTGCGTGCAAGCATCTCCTCTGAAGGCAGTGGTGAAAAAAGCTTCTGATTTACCGAACACGATTGGTGACAAAAGCTGATATCTTTGCGAACCAACTGGTGACGATTCGCAGACATTGAAACAACTTTCAAAGGACAAGACCATATTGCAACAGATTGTCCCAGCTCGACGAGACTCAAAGCCCAGTATTGGTCTGTTCTCGCTAACGCCTGCAGCGTGAACACATGCCGAAACGTTGACGTTTCGCTGTATGAGCAAGTTGAGACATAACATGCTGCTAAACATGGTAGCTTTAATCAGGATAGTTTTTAGCAGATGACGGAAACATTCTACAAACTATACTATATCAGTGCTGACGTCACATATTGGTGGTGACACAGTGCTTATCCAACGCCCTTCAGATCAGTGCCTGTCACATATTTTTCAGCCGAGATTCACTTCACATACTACACAGCATATAATACAAAAAACTAGGTTTATTACTAGTCGTAAAAATTGTTGCCGGCCACAGCATCTTGCTACGAACGTAATCAATTTGCTACGCAGCGTTTTAAAGCGTCGTGCCATTTGAGACGGATGACCTTGACTACTCGCCACGAGGTAATGCGTTAGGTTCAGTGCAAGGGTGTGGGCTGCTGTTGGTTCGTTCATGTCGTGAGAAGCTGACTGGCTAGAGGAGAGAAGCTAATCTTCAGTTTTTTTAAGGTAATGGCGTTAAAAAGCCCTATCAATCTGGGAAAATTGTTTGTGGATACCTGAGCTGTAGCTTCAGAGGTAAACAGAGGTCGTTGGAGCGACACATGTCAAGGATTCGTCCTGGGCTTTTTGCTTCTGAGAGGAACAACGGCTTTAAGGTGAAAAGGCGAGCATCGCTGGTGTAGGCCTCTCACGTAGGCCGTAGCGCCTCAGACTTTGCGCACCACTCGTTGGACAATCGTGCGATTGAACACTTTAAGTCGTCATCATTTTGCACATAAAGCTAAATAGAGGTGACAGAGGTCTTCAAAAATGTCGTTTGCGTCTGTTGATACAACACTGTATGGGCTTTGCTCTAAGCAATTGGGATCATGTTAGGAAGTGCGAGTTCTGCACCGGTAATAATTATTCGAGTCTGATGAAGGTCGCCAACGCTTCCAGATGATTGTGCGATGACGTCACGAAAACAAAAATGGTATTGCTTCAGGTGCTTGCAGTTTTGCAAAATATATAGGGGTGAGGAGAAGAAAGGGGAGGTGGGGGACGCAGGAAGAAAAATGGCTGAGCCTGCCTTCAGAATGCGCTTAAAACAATGTTTTCCCAAATTTGACGCACTTTTTCGCAGTTGAAAGGACAGCGTATTTTTTTGAAAATGAGTTTTTGGGCGGCTGAATTCCCAAATTATAGTAAGTGAACAAAAATGAATAAAATGATAACTAAAAATATTGTACCGCATTCCTAGCTAGGAGGCACCATCCCACCTCCCCCCCCCCTTCCCTTCCAACTGAATAGGAAACTAATTGCCTTTAGGGTGGTTGTGTAAGCATGCCTTTATCTGATAATTTTATTAGATAAGTGTCAACCATCATTCAGTGTTTGATTACCAGCAAATGAAACCATATTACAAATAAACTCGTAAACCCAAGATATTTGATTGTTATGTCGCCTTGCATTTAGTTTGTCTTTTTCGTGGCTTATCGCATTTAGAGCTATATTGAAACGGTTTCTGAAAAATCTGCCTGAGGGTGACAACGCAGACGGTTTGGAATTTCGTCGGTGACAGAAAAGGCACTTCCCCCCCCCCCCCCCCGTCTGTCACGCTCACAACAACCGAGCTCACATCGACGGGGCGGGACTCTGTACACTCGCCTGACAACCGAGCTCACATCGACGGAGCGGGACTCTGTACACCCGCCTGACAACCGAGCTCACATCGACGGAGCGGGACTCTGTACACTCGCCTGCCAACTGGGCTCACATCTTTGTCGATTCTGGACCGGCTTCTTATGTGTGTCCGCGTGGTTAAGCCTATGGTTGTTCGACAAAGGGCTGAGTAGCATTGGTGTATAACGCCTCGATGGTAAATACAACTTAAAAACAAAGAGATGCTTGGCAAACAAAGCAAAACCAACTGAGACCTCGTATTTATATCTAAGTCGATGAGCTGTCATCGCATCTAGGTTAACATTGAAACAGAGGCCAGCATCTAAAGCGGCTCCACACGCTTGCGGGCTGGTAACTCAGAAACTGGAGCGGCTTGGGTCTTAAGAACGGCAGGGTTGTGAACAGCACCCAAAGGCCTTCGATGTGTCTATCTCAGTTCAAAACCCTAAATAAATGTGGAGTGTTCCCTTTAAATCTCTCCAATCCCCTGTTTATATTACGAAGAATAAGGCCATTGGAACTGTCCCACATAAAGCGGAAACTTCGTGTTCGTGTTCGTACCGTAAATACGTATTCTCGGGCGGAGCGGCCTGAACTGGGACACTAACCTGCATATGGGTAAGTAAGCTTGCACATGTGCACTTGCACTTGCACACGTGCAGGTTAGCGGCTCGCCCATGTACAAGTTAAAGTTGGGCATATAGAAGCTTGATAAAAGAGGCGAAAACAAGAGGCTTCGAGCCTCATATGTCTCCACCGTAATTTATGCTCACCGCTGATTTGAGTCAGCTGGCCTGCTCTGACGGCCCTGGCTGGGCCGACCCTTCCACTGGTAGGTTTTCTTACTCGGGCTTCTGGACCGCTCGCAAGCGCAGAGGCGTGCCCGGAGGGAGCACACTGCCGGTGTGGAAC